TTCCTGTTTGGCTGTGACTCCATCCTGGAGAGAAATATCAGCTGTGCTGCTTCCATCAACACCTTTGTTTATAGATGTTGGAGATCGGCCTGTTTTCCAGTGTAGTCCTGTTATTCTGACTGTGACTAGCTGGATGTGCTCTCTTCATCCTCTGACATGGGAGCTGGCTCTGAGCTCGTCTGCCTGGCTGTGTGTTTCCTGGACGGGCGGCTTTTTGTATCTCTGCTTCTGTCTCCTTGAACCCCAGTCGGCTCACACTGAGCCTGGTTCTGCTGGAGGTTTCTCCCTGTTAAAAGGGAGTTTTTCATCTCCACTGTCGCTACAAGCATGCTTAGTGTGAAGGATTGCATTTGAGTCAATGAGTGGATGCAATCAACTGGTTTTCCTTAGATAGAAAACTGCCTTGAGATGACATGTGTAGTGAATTGGCGCTATGGAAATAAACTGAATTGAATTGGATTCTGAAAGCTTCAACTTAGGGCTTCTTTGGGGGAAATTTAGGGCTTAGATGATAAAAAATAGAAAGTTCAAAGGAGACAGAGTTTTTTCAGCTGCTGCTCCAAAATGATGGAATAAGCTCTAATCCTATTTACTATCTATTGTTAAAAATCGGCTTCAAACCTATTTTTATTATTTGGCTTTTAACACAGCATAAGGCTATCTCTTTGTTTGCATTAACATGTTTTTTTAATATTTTTTCTATGGTTTTATTCGTTTTAATTAGTTTGTTCTATCTGTTTTATTTGTTTAAACTTCTATGTAGATTTTTATTATTTAAATTTTACCTGGTAAGTACAGCACTTTTTGGCAGTTATGGTTGTTTTTGTGTTGAGGAAAAAAAATCAAAAAGATTTTAATTTGTAGCTAAATTTTACAGCCTTTCCAGCCTTTCACCACAGAGCTCTGCTCATCAGCACAGAACAAACACAACACTTATGGGAAATATCTGAAACATGGAATAAATCAGCTCAAAATCATTGAAGGAGAGCAGATCAGATGATTTGTTTGCTCATAAATCAATATATTGTGTCTTAAGCATAGAAACAGGTGGGAGCAAAGCAAGATACACCAAAGGTTATATCTTTGCATCATTACTGTAACTTACCGATCATCAACAGCAGAGTTTGGTTCAGTGAATTTCTTTCCATCTTCTGCCTGGATGCAAAGCAGCTGCAGAGGCTGTTTGGGTGTAAGGCTGGTTTTGACCAGAGGAGGGAGCTGTGGAGGAGGAAGCTGGGTTTGTGTTTCACCTTTAATGACTGTGTGTGATTGTTTGACACCAGCAGGAGAGAATAATTTCATCTTCTCCTTGTCCTCATCTGACTTGTTCTCCTCCACAATGCTCAGCAAAGTTGCTCTCTCCTCTTCCTTCTTTCTGATCTCCATCTCCTCCTTTTGCTGCAAAAGCTTCTTTTGTTCTTCGTTCCTCTTCCTTTCCTCCTCTTCTTTCTCCTCCTTGATTTTCTTCTCCGCTTCCTGCCTCAGCCTCTCCTTCCTCCTATCCTCCTCTTCACGTCT